ATACACTGATTATTAATAATCACAGAGACCAAATATAGCCATTTGAAGCTAATATATATTTGAAAATGCAAAATGCAAATCTTGTTGTCAAAATTTAGAAGAACACAAACACAAGACTTTGTTGTAGGTTCCAAATTCCTGTATATTTAGCACTGTTTTACAAGCCTACCTGCTCCACTGTAAGAAAACCCTCTGTCTAATTATACATAATGATTATAATAGTAATTAGGGCAGCACAGTATGTTGACATCATGATATGTGCATGTGCCATAGTCACATTGTAGGAAGTGTAACATAAACAAGGACAAATCAACTCAAATACATTGTGATATTACTTTTTAGGTGCTTGATACATAAAGGAAACCCCTACAGTTCTCAGTTTCCATTACTGAGCTGTCTGACATTATTTGTTCTGATTTAGGGGTTCTAGATAAAGTATGTTTGTTTGTTTGTTTGTTTGTTTTTACTTTATTTAAAAGACTTGGAGTTTGTTTATTTTCATCAACATGTGCACAGCAAAATGAGAAACAGGAGAAAAATGCTAAAATTGAAGATATGCTTGCAAAAAGAAACACAGTGTCAGTTTTATAGAAATATTTCCGCTACAGATGGGATGATTATAGACCAAAAACAGGTGCTCTGTCACCAGGGTCTTGCAAATGTTGCAGCTACATGACGCAACCAAACCCCAATCCTTCCAGATTCCAGGCTAATTCTTTACAAATCTGATGATTCCATCTGTTAAACACTGTTGTGCTTTTTTTCATTCCATAATATATTTCACAGAAAAACAAAACATTGCAATGTCAGTTTTTGGAAGATTTAGTAATGATTGTCTCCACAGGTGACAGTGCTGGGGACTCCTGCAGAGGAGGATGGAGGAGGGAAAATAGATCTGCTGAACGAGGGAGGCTTTGATACTATGGACGTGGTGTTCATGGCCCACCCCCTGCAGGATGACGCTCCGTATCTCCCGCTAGTGGCTGAACATGAGTGAGTTTTGATGGAATAGTTCAACATTTTCAGAAATCTTTATATTTGCCCTTTCAGCCCTGTTAGGATGTATGTTGACTATCTTGTGTGTCATATTGCTGTGATATTGTATAGATTCTTTTACATGTGACTTTGGGTGCATTTAGTAAAGATTTTGTATCTGACATGTACATATTGGAATATGCTATGATCCTACTTGATGCTCTTTTTGATGGAATCCTGTATCTGTCTCATGTTTCCAGTGTAACTATAAAGTATCACGGTAAGGCGTCTCATGCCTCAGCCTACCCCTGGGAGGGAATCAATGCGTTGGATGCAGCAGTGCTCTGCTACAACAACCTGTCTGCACTCAGACAGCAGATGAAACCAGACTGGAGAGTTCATGGTGAGCAGCTGATGCTCCTCCACACTCATGTGTCGCTCTCAGGACTTTTACTGAGTTGTGATTCATTTTCATTGTACTGTGCAGGAATCATAAAGCACGGAGGAGTGAAACCAAACATCATCCCTGCCTACACGGAACTGGAGTACTATCTGAGAACCCCGTCAAGAGCTGAGCTTTCTGTCCTGAAGGAAAAAGCTGAGAGGTGCTTTCGATCAGCTGCTGTGGCAACTGGCTGTGAGGTGAGAAATGACACATAAAGTGTTAAATAAATAGTCTTGCAGGTCACTGTGTGAACTCAATGTCATCCTCAGGTTGAAGTGGAATACGCAAAAAACGCCTTTGACAACATTTTGCGTAACAGAACACTTGAAGATCTGTACGAGATCAATGGAAAGTCTCTGGGGATGGAATTCACCACAGATGAAGAAGTCCTTAAAAATGCTTCTGGTGAGAAGACAGTAAATGTTCTGAGTTTGTTCTTTCAATAAAATGTGTCCATCATAGTCACCACTTTGCATGATGCAACCTCATGTGTGTGCATGATTACAAAGTTTAATTTCCCCGTTTTCTAAAGGCTCCACAGACTTCGGCAACGTGACATTTGTAGTTCCTGGCATCCATCCATACTTCTACATCGGCTCAAAGGCTCTGAATCACACAGAGGAATACACTGTGGCCTCGGGTATGCCAGACACCTAAACTTGTAATCTTGTTGTTCGTGGATTCTAGTTTACTGCAACTTTGGCGTCATTTTTGTCCTATTTTGTTACGGAGCACCGGGTTTTTTTCCCCAGACAAAGTACCTATGTTACAATTGTGTCATCTGTTTCATTAATGAGTCACCATCATAGGCATAGTCATCAGCTGCGCGGTGAACCAGGAGGACTCTTAGGGAAAGGCACGTGATCTCCTGCTTGGAATTTCCCAAATTACATTTTGGACTCTTTGGACAGAACTCCAAGTACTCTGTCTGTTGAATACCACGTTCTGTTCATCACATGCGAGCACCATTTCCACTGTGAAGCACAGTTGTGGTGGCATCATCCTATTTGAGTGCACCTAAGCAGCAGGGGCAGGGAAACTGGTCAGACCTGAAAGAAGGATAAATGCAGCCAAAAATAGAGAGGTCCTTGGTGAATATATGCTCCAGTAAGCAGAGACTTGAATCGGATCACTTTGTGGAGTTCTGGGTTATTCATAAAGGAAGAAACAATAGTATAAGCTGTTATCCTGTGTTTGAGCATGTAGTTCTAGACCTTTATCTGCACTGAATGTATTGACTCAAGGATCCACTAAAAACAATAAGCAGCAACTCTTGAGGGGCAAAATGTTGGTCTGATTGAATGTGTTCAGGTTTGACTTAATCTGTAACTGCAGGATTTTCAGACATCTGGTCTTCCACATCTGCTGAACATGTAACCATACAAGATAGATCACATTCATTATTGGGCTTCATGGGTAGATATATTGGGGTATCATCTACATAGCAATAAAACATGATGCTTTGTCTGCACAGAAGGTGATCAAGAGGAAGCATAAATAAAGAATATTTTAAATGGGCCTAAAACAGAACCCTGAGGCACTCCACATATTACTGAGGCCAGAGAAGATCCTGACATCCAACGAAAAACCCAGGACCTGACAGATATACTGTAAAACACTGTCATGCTGTGCCATATGTACCAACTCAATGCTTAAAGCTGTTTGGCACATCAAGTGCTGGGGAGTGGAGCAGTCTTCATCATGTGCATTCATTAAGATATCATTTAAGCCTGTGAGAGAAGTTTTAGCGAGACTGCCTTTTGAAGATTCAGATTTTGAAGATGTTTTCACCATTGGCTCTGTCCATTTTTTTCTAATAGCACAAAAAAAATCAGTCATTATTTCTTTCTTTTTTGAGAGACTGACATCTAGCATACAAATCTTACCTAGTGTTTTTATGTGTTTGTTGCAGGTGATGATAAAGCTCAGTTCTTCACCCTGAGGACAGCAAAGGCTCTGGCCATGACGGCTCTAGATGTGTTGCTGCGTCCAGAGCTGCTGCAGAAGGTGAAGCAGGAGTTCACTGAGGCAAAACTGAAGGAGGAGCAGAATGCAAAGCAGCCTGCAAAACAGTGTTAAGGCAGGCGGAGGAGCTGCTGCTCCACTGAGTGTCAGTCAGACTCAGGGACACTTCTGCAGCATCCAGGGATGCGCAACACAATCTTGCATTTGAATGGTTGTCTTATCATGTTTAGATTGATCCAAAGCAAAGCAATTTTATTCAGAGGTTGATTGAATTGTTATCTAGAAAATGTGGTAATGTAATTTTTGGCTTTTTGTTGCTTGCACATCAAACCTTGAATTAGAGAATTAGCAAAAGCCAAATTAGAAACTCATAACAACAGGAATCCTGTTCATATCTGAAGTGAAAAATATGATGAAATTGCAATTCTGATTCAATGCACTTTTTGTCAAACTTAGTGAATATAGCTTCTCACAGTACACTAGCTCTTTATTGTCTAAAAAGAAATCAGGTGTTGGTGGGAAAAAAAAAGTGTCTCGAACTCATCCACACAATACTATATCAGAATCTTCTGTGCATGTTTGTGCACATTTGTTGTCACAAAGAATCACAGATCACAAATTTTCTGTCCAAAAAAAACTACACAAAAAAAACTTTGACTCTTAAATGAATAGTCGTTTTCAAACGCCATTACCTTACTTACTCGCACTTCTACAAGACAGATTCAGCCATATGGTAAAATCCTATCAAATGTATTATCCATTTTGAATTTCTACATGAACTGATTTAATGTCACTTCAGACCACATTTCTACTGTCTTCTCTTGCACACAGCCACTGTCGCTTCTCATTGAGTGACACCTGCCAAAACTCAAATCAATCAGCTCAGTGGTCAATGATCAGTCGTATGCTTCATTAGTACTATTATTGCAGCCTGGCTATTGTAGGTCATGGTGCTCTCAAGAAAGAAAATGCTGATCTGAATGAATGTAACTCAGCTGCAGCTCCATCATATGCTGTGACAATAAGCCAGACACACTTCTGCATTTGTGTGTTTGCGCTTATTCACTGAGACGACACTGTCACCATCAGGTAAAACTGATAATCACAACATTGCCTTATATCATTTTTCTATTCAGCATACTGATAGCTTAAAAAAAAAAAAGTTTTTTTTTTTTTTACAATGATAGCGAACATTTCAAAATAAAATTGTTGCAAACCAAATAAGGTGAAAAATTGCAGGGAGTTGAGTGCAAAATTAAAAAAGTTACTGCACTGCATGGGGTGACAAAAGAGACAAACACAGTAGAAGAAATGGAGAAGTTTTCCCTCTTCAAAGTTTGCACTGCGCTCACACTGCTGCAGCAATAAGACAACACCATCTGGCTTTAAAATGTTGATGTTTCACATGTTAATACTTGACATGCTCTCTAATGTGAACGTTTAATATAGCATGATTTCATTAATGCTTGCAAGTTAAGCAAAAATATATCCTACATATCTTTACTAACATTAATATTCTTGATTTTAGAATCACTGAATGCCTATAAACTACACCCCAATTGTCTTCTTTTTTTTTTTTTTTTTTTGATTGGGATGACTGTTCAGGAAAATCTGCTGAAAATGTTTACAGAGATGTGTCTTTATATGCACTGTGCCTATTAAATAACCCAATAAATAAATAGAATGAAACAAAACTCAAGAGTATTTGCTTCTGTTTTGTACTGGGGATGTATGATAAATAATTAAAAATACAAACACAACAGAACAAATTACACGTAGAAGGGTAGTTTTATTTGTTGAGTCATGCGGTCATAGGAAATATAGTAATTTTAGTGGACTGCCTGTGACAGTTGTGTGGGATCTGAAAAGTGTATGTTACTTTTTGGTTTTATATAGTCAGTCTACAAACATCCACTAGATGGCAATATTGTGATATCACACCACATAAGAGTAGCAAAGATGAAACCTTAAGCTATAATGAAGTTTATTACAAATATAATCCCATTTTTATATATTTGCACATTGTTCTTAATACATTGTATTGGTTCTAATCACATTGTATTGAACATGTTTACAGCTGAGACTTGGGAACACAGTACCATGGAACAGGAGCAGTCAGATGGGCAGCACTGTGGAGGAGTGGTTAGCACTGTCACCTCACAGCTAGAAGGTCTTGGATTAGCTTCCCGGCCTGGGATCTTACTGTGTGGAGTCTGCATGTTCTCTCTGTGCAGCATGGGCTCTCTCCGGGTTCTCGGGCTTCCTCCCATAGTCCAGAAATATGTTGGGGTTAATTGGTGATTCTAAATTGTCTCTGTGTAGCCCTGTGATAGACTGGCGACCTCTCCCGGGTTGTCCTCTGCTTTCACCCAGAGTCAGCTGGGATAGACTCGAGCCCTCCCTGCGACCCTTCAGAGGATAGAGCGTTGTGTAGATAACGAATGGATGAGCAGTCAGATAATCATTCATTTTCTCACAAAGAGGAAAGGCTGGTGCTCAGTGCTTGCCTGAAGTCCAGGCCACTAAATCTACACATGGGCATCTTAAAACTGTAAGTAAGAAACTTCTCCAAGCAAAATTTGGAAAACTTATTCATGCTTTCATTACCTTAGACATTTGCAACACCTTTAAAAAGCTGCAACTACAGTACTGATGAACACCAAGAAGAGAGAACACATTACTCCAATTTAAGGACGTGTTGTCTATAAGTCTCTGAATAGACTGGGATCAAAACATTTCATGAATATGTTTTCTGTAAGATCTGCAGAGACTGGTCAATTAATGGCACCAAGAGTTCATATCAGATAAAGTAAAATGGTGTTTAGTCATTGTGTTGCCTTGGCCTGCTGCTGGAACCAGCTCTTCTTGGAACTTCGATTTAGAATAAGCTAAAGGTCTACTGCGCAAACTCTGTGTACGATAAGGTGCTACATGAACAGACTGCTTTAAACACAGGCAAACAGACTATTACACAGACTGGTTCAAACATCCATCACAGTTTGCAGACCTTCTTCATGTTTCAAGTTACTTAGTGAAGCACAGACTTCCTGATCACTGAGAACTTATTAACAACGTTGTGTGTGTACTTTCACATCTAGGTAGAGCAGTTTCTTCTGATTAACTTGTCAGGTCATCTTAGGCCTGGCTCGGCCCAGTCTGCCTCTCTTTGAGCTGCCTGCCTTCACTGAGCCAAACCCCACCAGTGATCCTTGATAAGCAAAATGCTGGTTACCAGATGGCTCAGATAACTCTGGGTACAACAATCAAGCTGTGAGTCAACTCGCATTAAAGAAACAGAGTTCTTAAATCCGGGCACATGCACTGTGGTGAGAAAACGAGTGGAGTACTTAATGTGGCAGCAGATGTGTTGTCTTGGAGGTTAAATGAGGCTACTGCAGCTGCAAGAAATGTATTCTGCATTGACGCTGTTAAATAAACAATTGAATAACACATTTAGGATAGAATAAGAAGCTGTAGAAAAAGTCCTATTATCAAAATAGTAAGGGTAGGGCTATGAATAAATAAAAAAGAAATTCAAGTGCTACAATAAGCCATGCCAGTGTGACAGTGAGTCAACATGAGCAGCACTGGGAGCATGGAAATGAAGCAGCAGCATAACATTTTGTTATAATTCACTTCATTACTTACAGTTGGGCTTTAATACTGTGACATGTCGTCTGTGTAAAAGCCTTATGATTAGACTAAGTGGTTTTACTGTCATTTAAGCGTCTCTCTATTGTACTTTGTTAATTGAGATCACATTTAAAATTCAATTTTTCCATCCCCTCAGGACCCTGTAGGAATCCAATTTTCAGCAAGGTGATCGGTCAGTTGTCACCTTGACAACATGTTTTTGCTCATTATATGCCCTGCATACTTCAAAGCTACATTCAAAACTACAGAGGAAAAAAAAGGCTATTCGAGGTCCCAAAGTTTCCAAAGATGCCAAATATGTCAGGTTGAATTTATATATAATGATGCCTCAGACATCTACAATTTTAAAGCTCAGAGTCTTGGGGGTTTTTTTTATCTAAAAAAATATAAGAGAAAGTGGAGCTTGGTTGCAGAGCTATAAATCTGTTGTCGAATGTTTTATAAAAACTGGCATTTCAGTTTTTCTCTCAGTGTGAACATCATATACATTTAATGAGGAGTCGGAGAGATCAGACACAGTCACAGTGGAAATAAAATGATTTTAACAACCATTAAACGACTTCAGGGGAAGTAAAGAGTTGGAACTGTACAAGAAAGCATCCCAACCATGAAATAAAACAAAAGAAATTAAAAAGCAAAAACAAAGCAAAAATATGTTTAATATTTTAGATTCTAGTAGCCACTGTTTGCCTTGATGACAGCTTTGGTAATATCGCAATCATCTTCATGATATTGAATTTTTTTAATAAGGAGTGTGTGACGGCCCGTGTACGGTGGCTGTGTGGGCGGACCCGAACGAAAAGGGGAGGGAGGAGAAACAGGTTATAAAGAAAAGGTTTTATTAATAAGGGTGAGGGAGTGGGGGTCACCAGGAGCAGGAACCAGATCGGGAGTGTCAGTCGAGGGGGGTGCAGGTGGAGGTTTGTCCGTGCTGGGATCCGAGGAGGGGGAAATGCCGCCGAGTTAGTGCTGGAGAGGGAGGCGTGGAGGAATCCAAGGACGGTGCGCGCAGGGACCGCGGTGAAATTAGCTTGAAGTTGGATGTTGGATATTCGCGCTCCGCGTAGTCCGCGGCGTCTTGCTCACAGTTGATCCGATTTACGGACTCAGACTTCGGCTCGCTCCTCTCGGCTGCATCGCCACCCAACTAGCGACATTTCACTTTGGGACCGTCAACGAATTTCCAAACCAAGAACCCCTGAGAAATAAAAATTAACAAATTTTCTATTTTGTGACCTTGTGACTAAAAACCAGTGTGGATATATTCAACTGCACTGGACAGATGAGACATACCAATTTATTTTCAATTTTAGTCTTTGCAATATTTTGTATGAATTATTCTATTCATAATTTTGGAATATTCTTCAATAGCTTCCAGGTCATGTGACGCACTGACTTCAAATTAGTGTCAAATTACTCAGCTAGTCTGGACAAATCAGGCACACCAATTAATTTTCAATATTAGTGTTTTGCATATTTTTAATGAATTATTATATTCATAAATTATGAATATTCTTCAATCGCTTGCAGGTCATGTGACCCACTGACTCCAAATCAGTGTCAAATTATTCAACTACACTTGACAGATAAGGCACACCCTTTTTTATTCCATTTTAGCCTTTGTAATATTTTTTATGATTATTTAAATATTATATTATTTATATTCATCAATTGTGAATATTCTTCAATCGCTTCCAGGTCATGTGACCCAGTGACTGTGAAAACCGGCTGCCGTCGACGAACTGGGGGGGTGGACGGGGCTTGGACGGAGGGCAGAGCTGACTGGTGAGTGCAGGCTTGACAAGACTGACGTGAAAAGTGGGGTGCACACGCATAGACCTGGGGAGATGTAGACGGACAAAGACAGGACTAACAACTTTAGTGATGGGGAAAGGACCGATGAACCTGGGGGCGAGCTTGCGGGAATCCACCCTGAGTGGCAGGTTCCTTGTCGACAGCCATACTTTTTGACCCGTGACATACTTGGGGGCCGTCGACCTCTTTTTGTCTGCCGCCGCCTCATAGGCGGCAGACTGCCGCAGGAGATGCTGGCGAGCTCGCTCCCAGGTCCTCTTGCAGCGATGAATTAATGACAAGGCAGATGGGACAGGACTGACAGGCTCTGTGGATGGAAACAAGGAGAGTGGGTGACCATGAACAATGTGGAATGGAGAAAAACCAGATGATACAGACGGTAACGAATTGTGGGCTGACTCGATCCAAACCAGTTGTGAAGACCAGGTGTTGGGATGTTGTGAGGCTGTGATGCGAAGTCCTTTTTCTAATTCCTGATTGAGGCGTTCTGTTTGTCCATTTGACTGAGGGTGAAAACCGGATGACAGGCTGACGGTGGCTCCTAGCAGATTACAAAATTCTTTCCAAAACTTGGAGATGAACTGGGGGCCTCGATCGGAAACCACATCTTCTGGGAAACCATGGATCCGAAACACATGACTGATCAATGCCTGGGCCGTTTCCTTGGCCGAGGGAAGCTTAGAGAGTGGAATGAAATGTACCATTTTAGAAAGTCTATCAACAACAGTTAAAACCACAGTATTGTCCTCCGAGGGAGGAAGGCCCGTGACAAAGTCCAAGGATATGTGGGACCAAGGTTTTTTGGGCACCGAGAGAGGTTGAAGTTCCCCGTGTGGTCTCTGGTGGGACACTTTATGCATGGCACAAACAGAACACGCATTAACATATTCAGTGATATCATCTTTCATTTTGGGCCAACAAAAACGCTGTTGTACCACCGACAGGGTCTTAAGGATTCCTGGGTGACAAGTAACCTTATTAGTGTGGCCTCAGTGAATAACCTCCCCCCGGAGTCCAGGAACTACAAACAGTTTATCCCCAGGACAATCTGGGGGAGGCTGACTATTGGTCATGGCCGCTTTGACTTTGTCCTCTACTCCCCACGAGAGAGCAGAAACAAAACAAGACTTGGGGAGGATGGTTTTAGGAGTTCGATCAGAATTATCCGGGTCATGAATGCGTGAGAGAGAGTCAGGTTTAGTGTTTTTAGAGCCAGGACGAAATG